TAGGACCACAGACATTCAATTATATTAACTAAAATGTATACTTGGCAAAAAAACAAACATGTATTTAACTTTTAAAATTAAACATTTGCTTTTTTCTGCTGAAAAGACCCAAAATATAGAAAATCTAGGATATTGCTTGCAGTTTTTTTTATCATTTTTTGTCTATTACGTTGGCTCACATTATGGTGCAATCTGTAGCTGACGGTTTACCCAAGTGTCATCGACATATCTGCACCAGTGAGCTAGTTATACTCCATTTTATCCGCAGAGTGCTCTGCTCTACACTTCCTCCATGTAGATATTAGCCGTAAAAGGTGAAACAGGGGAACTCATGGCACACCCATGTTTCTGTTGGTAAAAGTTGTCATTATATTTGAAATATCTGCTTCATAGGCAGAGGTCAGACCAGTCATAAATCTAGTTAGGTATTTAAGTAGTCCTGTCTTTCAGGGATTCATCATGTACCAGTTGTGTCCTGACTGTGTTTACTGACTCTAATGTGCAAATGCAGATGAAGAGAGAGGTTATATGGAAAAAAAACAATGGTTTCAAGTTGTGCCAGATTCTAATGCCAATCAGTGGAGCCAAAATTGTTGCAAGATAATAAACTCAAAATATCTGCAGAAAAACTGAGTGAAAGTCTGGTCGCCTCTGTAAGGATTATTTTTATGTTTTGTGTACGTGCTTGTAAAACCCTAATACTACCTGCCTGTTATGCGTTACGGCTAATGTTTTCCCAAGCAGTTTATGTAATTAGCACAGTTCCTCTGTTCTATTCTTCATTACGTACACAACAAAGATTTGGGAATGAATTGAGAGCACAGACATGGTTAATAATTCTTAACAGCGAGCTCACTCTGTATTCAGAACGTCCGTTATCTGGAACACTGTGTAATGTTTTGATAAGACATGGGCCAGTGATGCGTCATTTTACAAGCATGTATATGATGTAATGATGTAATAATGTGTCAGGCTGTGTGTATAAATGCTTCTTTAACTGGGATTCGGGGTTAACTTTCTAAGGAAGCAAGTTCAGTGGTAAGTGCTGCCCTCTGTAACACGAGCCATTTCTCTGGTCTGAGTAAGATTACAATTTCTGCAAAAACTTGTTATGTCTTATAGTTATTTAATACACATACCAACATAAAGTTTGCCAGTCAAGTGTTTGCCAGTAATCTCTTCTCAGGAAAGAATGGAGGAGAGAAAGCTTAAAAGTGTAAACACAGAGCTTTTCTTTACACCTCCGATCTAAGCCAGTTTTGTGGTTGCCATGACCCTGATAACTGAGAATTTACAAAGGCAGTTGAAAGTATAAAAAAAAAAAAAAAGTTCAAGAATGCTTAAAGTCGTAGGGAAACGGCTGTTCCAACCGTTGCATTTCCGAATTCTCCCAAGTGGTGCACGACTTTACACGAGTGAATAAGGTAAATGTGATTGGTTGTTTATCAAGGGGGCAGGATTGTTGTGGCGGAAGGTTTGCAAGCAAGTTTGATTGTGGGCGGTTTTTCTCTGAAGCGTCTCGCTTACCAATCATTCTGGCTTAAACATGTATATAAATGCACTCTTTATCAGACGATATTGTCCCAAAAGTAAGAACATTTCTATTCTTAAATAAATCCTGTCTTAAAATCTGTGTTGTTTTTTCTTTCTTATTTTATGCAGGCCAGTTAGTTATACGTCAGCTTGTATACCTAAATTCGGCCAATCATATATCAACCGCCATCTGACAAGTAAATGTTTTCGGTCATAGCATCTTGATTCATATGTCGCAGCTAATATACTCAACAGTGGAAGTAGGAAATAAGAATCCTTTACCTTACCATTGAGTTACGTCCCAGTGTTTACGGGGATGGACGTCTGTGTCTTCGGCAGGCGTAGAGCTAACAGAACTGGCAGTGTGAGGCAAGGGCTCAAACATGTACGGCTGTAAGCCTTCTACACCAAACAAAGTTTCTGCCACCATGGCGTCCTCTTCCAGAACAACTTCGTTCCCACTTTCCTCCTCTAAATAAAAAGTGTATGATGGAGGAGACTCATCCACGACCTCCAACACCAAACTCTCCTCCTCTTGCATGTTTCCACTGCCCATAGCGTTCCTTGACAGTGTCGTTGCTTAGTGCTACTTGGTCCCAATGTAATTTCCCATTGGGAACCTACTAGGACTAAGTTGTTAACTAGTTAGCAGGATGCTTCCGAGACACCAGCCACAACCAAACTGCTTGCAAACCTTCCGCTACAACAATCCCACCCCCTTGATAAATGACCAATCACATTTACTTTATTCACTTGTGTAAAGTTGGGCACCACTCAGGAGAATTCGAAAATGCAACAGTTGGAATAGCTGCTTCCCTACGACTTTAAAATGTTGGTCTACTGGAGTGTTGCTCCTGGCTGAGTGACAGATAAAGATACTTTGATTTGGACTGCCTGTCCTCCGACCTCCAATACATCAGCGTCTGGGACTCTCTGTGCAACAACCGCTGCGTCGTGTGGGCCCACACGACTCATCCACTAGGCTCGGACTGAACTATTAGACCAGGATAGTGACTCACATGTTCACTATCATCCTCCGCCAGAAAGATGTGGTTACTAACCAGTTGTCTCCTTCTGCAGAGGTTCCCGCCTTGGATGCAAACACTGTTCACTGCAGTCCTGTTCCCAATAAACATTTTGAGAAATCTGTTTGTCCGCCTCAAACACTGGATCCTAGCTTAACAAAACCATAATTCTTCCCTATCCAAGACCTGAATATCATGGTAATTAGAGGTGTCATTTATTCTTAAAATGTGTGTGTGTCCCAACATGTGGTCGTCTGAAACTCCACGACCTCATGCCTGCTCCATTACAACATGCAAACTTTTCAGTTTTTAATTCAATTCAGTTTATTTATATAACCCCAATGCACAACACATATTATCTCAAGGCAGTTTAGAGAGACAATTCAACCAGATCATACAATCAGATTGAACCAATCTAACTGTATAATCTGGTTGAATACATATAAGTATACTATTCCTTCAAGAACTAAAAGAGTAAAAAGGGTAATAGAGATGAAACAGAACAAAGAAATTTATTTAGGGCTGTCAAAGTTGCTCTAATGCACTTTCCTTTAAACAACATTAATATATTTTGATGCACAATTAACACATGCTTCAGTACTTTTGTGCCTTATCTGCTTGGTTGTTTTCTTGCAAGTTAGAGCAGTTCCACTCTGTCCACCTGGTTGCTTTGTTTAAAATGTTCTTTCTTCTTTCTTCTGGTGGTAATATGTGTTTTTTAAGGCTGTCTCTTGGAGTCCAAATTGTGCTAAATCACTGTTATTCAAAACATGTAATTACATATCTGTGCAATATAAAAACATATGAGATTAATTTGAACTAATTTGTATTTATTAGTATTAATATAACTTTAGAATATAAATGGCAGCATTAAGCCATGTAGATTCACTTTACTAAAAAAAAATACAATACAAGAGAATTAAGGATAAGATACTGTGCAGTGATGACGAAAGTGTCACATAATAATATAGTAATCAGTGCGTTCATAGGAAGTTCTTGTCCTTGGTTTCACCTTTTTACAAATTCCTCATATCAACATTACACAGATCTTACATCCACTTGGCCTGTAAAAAGCAGGAACTAGTGGCTCAATTTAAGCCGCACACTCTGAAGGCAAGAGAGAACAAGTAATTCCAGCCTAATAGAGCACATACAGCCGTCACAAGGAACCACACACTGGCTTCCTTTTGAAATTAAGAGGCTGTGGAGCCACTGGTGAAAAAGGGCAGTGAGCTAAATTAAAAAGCTCGGGGGTTAAGGGGTCAGCTGGCTGGAAGTGCATGTCACCAGCCCCATTGGACATGCCTGCGTGCTCCATCAGCAGGTGTATAAATATGTGTCATGTTTCACACTTTCATGTCCGCAGGGACAGCAAACCAGATGGGATTTTAAATGCTGCATTTCACGTGGTAACATTTAGTGGGTTAGTTCACCCCTCATTGGTTTACCATCTGGTGCCCTCTCAGCCCCATGATAGTATAGGAGCTTTCACACGGCACTTGTAAACCCTCCCGATGTCTCTGTATGCCAGAGCCCATTCCCAGCAGTTTACATCACAGACTGTGCTGCACCGCATCCTACACAACTCTTAAAAAAGGTGTATTGCTATTCTTTCCCACGCAAGAACACGCATTTGATATGAGATTAGAGTACAAAACATGGGGACGGCTAAAAGAGCTTCAAAATGGTAAAAGTTGCACTCAAAATTCAAGAAAATCAAACAAGTTATATCAACACATTAAGAAAACACTTACCAATTCAGTGGGTCCACATTGTTTTCATCCTTTCTTCTACTTTCCATCTTTTTGATTCATGATTTTTTTTCTTAAAGCAGGCAGAGGAGAAAGCTGGTTGCATTCCTCTTAGAGTTTTCCGTTAATTTCACCTCTTTTCGTTTTCTTTACTCCTTTTTATGGCCAGAATTTATGTTCTTCCAATGCATCCTCCTCATTTCAACTCATCATTTGTGAAGGCGTCGGGCTTCATAGGCTGAGTTGGACAGCCAGTCAGTGTTCCCTCCCTTTCTTTTATTGAAGGGTTCCCTTTATCTCAATTTGCCAAGAATTGCCAGACAGTCGCTGACTGGCCTCAGCATCCAAAACGCACTACGCGTTTTGACATGATGGGGCTGCTACTTACCCCTCATATGTTGCCATTTGCACCTCGACCATATATTTCTAAACTGGAGGGGGGTAGGAGGATGTTGGGAGGGGGCTGACATTTCGAATTTATTGATACCATTAGATAAATAATGTATTATCTAATTTCTAACATTTTAATTTAAAACAGAACTTATCAGTTATTTAAAAATTCAAATGAAAAATATAAATTTAATAAAGTGAACAGAGTAAAACTACAAGAAAAGAATAATATATATAAGAAGCGAGTATGATCTCGGCTCAGCCTATATGAGAATCAGAATGAGGAGGGGAGGTAAGGGGGGGGCGACTTTGAGATGACATTGAGGCTGTGTAGATGGGAGCTGAGTCTGGTTGTTGATGTTAGACAGTCGCACAAGGCGAAGCGACTACTGTCCGTGTTCATTCAACCTCCTCCTCTCGCTTTCTTTTCTCTTCCTCCTTTTGGTCTTCAGCACTGATCCCAACTGGACAGCTCCCGCTTGGACCCCACGAACGCTGCATGGTCCCCTTTAATGTCTTTTAATGGAAGAAAAACCTATTTATGTTTCAAGAAACACTCGGAGTTTACAAGTTGACCCACAGGAGGAATCTTCGGATCCCTCTTTTGGAGATTTGTGGCAGTCAGCGAAGCCTCAGTGGTGCGGATCCCAGATTCACTGTGAGTAAAAGGTTTTGAATATAGGCTTTTTTTCCACTGCCTGTCTGCAAGTTGGTTATTGCTCTGCTCAGGTATGTGTCCCTACGATAACATTTTGATTGACCGGATTGCGAATGAGGCTGTTTATCTCTGCTGAGGGGGGATCAAGTAAATATTTGCACACTTATCTCTAACATGCAGAGTTGATTCCAGTCTGTCTGGTGTATGCAGATGCAAGGAGTCGCATTCTGGTGCGCAGACTTCCCAATTCATATGGCAGAATGTGTGCAGCCTGATGCGTAAAGCTTTTACGCATTTGGACATCCCTTTTGTCTCCACGGTGCGTTTTGTTTTCCAGTGTGTTAGAGATGTCCTTCTGTCCACGCTTACTTTCGGTTATCCACGCAAATAACTGTAAGGAAATTCTGTGGGTGTTAATTGGTGGGCTTCGTTGTGCTTAATTTTCATAGGCTGGAAGCTTTTGCTTCTGTGCATACTGTGCTTAAAAGTGCATGTTTTGATTACTTTGCGTTTCTGTTGATATCTGTTTTTTGTTTGTTTGTTTGTTTGTTTACTCGAAAAATCTAAATGGAGTTTGTTTAGGCATCCGTGTCTGTTGTTTTGTGTTTGGCTGTTAAATTACGTGCAATCTGTCTGTTGTGCAGGCTAGGCAGCATGCCTTTGCCATCGGTGATTTAAAATGAATGGGGAAAAAATCTCAATGTGTCAAATGTTAAGAAAATGCATCTGCCTTGATGTCAAATGCGTCCTTAGAGATCAGAAGTACATTGTTTGTTTAAAATGCTGTTGCTGATTAAGAGGGAATGAATTTGGTACATTATGTGTCCATCTTAATTGAAACAGGTAACCATTTTTTTCCCTGCACCCTCAAACAAACAATCACTCTATCCACAATCTTAGGTTAACGACGACTGACCAGTCGTGTGGACGCACAGGCTTCATCTCCAGACATTTGGTCCGAAGGGTTAGTTGTAGAAACCAAAAACCGCGAAGCTGCTGTCTACGTGGACCGGTGCTGAAGCCTCCCGTCCGACCGCCAGGACCTTTGCCAAATTCAGAGACATGGCGACGAACGGCACTAAAGCGGATGGACAGGTCACAGAACTGAACGAGGTGGCCGCCAACAACGACAAACCTAAGTCCCTCGATGTGAAGACCGAGAAGAAGCAAAAAGTGCTCCCAGAAAGGGAAACATGGGGAGGGAAATTTGATTTCCTCCTTTCCTGTGTGGGTTATGCAATTGGACTGGGGAATGTGTGGAGATTTCCCTATCTCTGCGGGAAAAACGGCGGAGGTAAATATTTTTATTTTATTTTTTATTTTTTTGCACTCATGTATGCATACCGAGTAACCAATTAAGCTCAACCATGCACATAATGGGGCTTTTAATTTAGCGCGTCCAAGGCAGAAAACATCTCCGAAAGCGTTGCCTTCATTTGCAACCTGTAAACTGCAGGTTTATATCTAGACGTATAAATTGAGTTTTGGATGCACTGATTTATAACTGGGATCAAATTTGATAGTATGTAGCCTAATTGACTGTGTCTATGGACATGGATTCAGGTTAACAAACGCATGAGTATGATCAAACGCAAACAAATGAGTCTGAAATGGTCCTTTTCCTGTTTTTCTTGTAAATATCAAAATTAGATCATATTTATTTGATCTTAATTTAGGCTCATGGAAAATATTTCTGCTGGGTTTTTTTTTAGTACCAGAGCAGCTTTTTCTTTTTATTTCAAATACTTATCATAATGCACTTTTGTCCATTCAGGGGCCTTCTTGATTCCATATTTTCTGACCCTCATATTTGCTGGGGTCCCCTTGTTCTTACTGGAATGCTCCCTTGGTCAATACACCTCTATTGGAGGGCTTGGTGTGTGGAAACTGGCTCCTATGTTTAAAGGTACATTTATATTATATTCAAAATGCAAATGCATTTTTTTTTTCTTTTTGTAAACCTACTGAAATCATATTTGATTGTTAGGTGTGGGCCTTGCTGCAGCTGTCCTATCCTTCTGGCTTAACATTTACTACATTGTAATCATTGCTTGGGCCATTTACTACCTGTACAACTCATTTACAACTGTAAGTATATTCTAAACTAAAAACAGAACTTGGGCTTAAGAAAATATCCAAATTGGTAACGAAAGTGTACACGTGTTTTTTGTTCTTTACCCTTTACAGGAACTTCCATGGAGCTCATGTAACAATCCATGGAACACAGAAAAATGTTATACAAATCATTCCATTCTAGACACTGCAAATCTCACCAGTTCTGTGTTGGAGTTTTGGGAGTAAGATATTGACATATTTTCTCTACTGCAGCCCTTTAACTTTCTTGCATGCCTCTGTGAGCTGCTTCAAAAGGCAGGCTCCTTTACTGCATGCTTGCTACCCTGTGCGTATAATGGTTTTTATCACTGTTTGCTCTGACTTACAGACGCAACATGCATCAAATGACTGATGGCTTGGAAAAACCAGGCCAAATCCGAGTGCCACTGGCTATAACACTAGCCATTGCCTGGGTCCTTGTGTACTTCTGTATTTGGAAAGGGGTTAGCTGGACAGGGAAGGTAAAATATTTGTTTGTTTATGGTAATCCAACACTTCCTATTTATGCTGGTTTCTAATAAGAGCATGCATCTCCAATGCAATATTAAAAAGTCAAATTTCATCTCATCAATCTTTCAGACTGCATTCAGCGCTGGTTTGAATTGATTTTTTTTTAAATAAGAGGCCAAATAAAGAAATAAATAAATGGAACTGATGCACCCCTAATCTCTTTCTCCCCGCCTCTCGGTCGGCTTCTCTAAGTCCAATTCTCCTGACACATTTTCCATTCCGAGTGTGGTTTCATGATAGGAGGAGCAACAATCAGCCATACCCCCTTGATCTGGATTTATCCTCCTTTTGTACTCAGTTTCTCCCCCATGTGACGCTACATTTTAAAAGTCAAGTTCATCACATGACCATGCAGAAAAAAAATTGTTTCGGTTAAAGTCAGTCAGGCCTCATAAACATCTATGTCCCAGTACACATTTTTCATATTTTCCTCTAATCACCTCCTTACATTTTCAGGTTGTTTACTTCTCAGCAACGTATCCCTACTTCATGCTCTTTATTCTCTTCATCCGTGGGGTGACTCTACCTGGAGCCAGGGAGGGAATCTTGTTCTATATCACCCCTGACTTTGAAAAACTCAAAGAGTCGGAGGTAAAGATATGTTATTGTGTGTTCCTGCCTCATGCTGCTTTCCCTGAGCAGGCAGAACTTGGCCTCATGCAGCTAACACCCCCTCCTCCTCCCCCTTTCCTCTGTCAGGTATGGCTGGATGCAGCTACGCAGATCTTTTTCTCTTATGGATTGGGACTGGGGTCACTTATAGCTCTGGGCAGCTATAACACATTCAATAACAATGTTTACAGGTAAGAGCTGCTGATGAATAATGCAGTGGAATTGATTTCTGAATTGACTAGAGAGAAAGGGGCTAATATTGAAAATAAATATATCACTCATGAAACTGTAGAAAAAGGTATAAAATATATACCCACATTGAAGGATTGTAATGAAGGATTTAATGGATGGGAAGGAACAGAGCATCACTGTGAGGTGAAGTCTCCCCCGTTCTGTGCTGTAGGAACAAAAAGACTATTACTGTGATGCCTGAGTGTTTTCTCTAACGGCCCCACATTCTAGGTCACAAAATCAGTTACGTAAAATAGTTGCATTCAAATTGGACTTTTTCTGAGCTTGTTTCAGTTTTGTTGATGTTGTTTTAAACATAAGGTCAATTGGTAGTCGCATTCAAGCAGAATATACATGTTCCTGGTACAAAGCTTTCATTTTTACCTAACGTCTTGCAGTGAAAGCACTCCCACTGCTGATCTTTCAGATATAACTGCACAGTTTTCTAAAAAGGTCAAGTGGCAAGAAAAAGTCAATTTTAAACCTTTTTACAAAAGTCCTATTTTAAAAGAAAAAATATTTCCTCTCCCCAGAGACTCTATCATTGTGTGTTGCATCAACTCATGCACCAGCATGTTTGCTGGCTTCGTAATCTTTTCCATTGTTGGCTTCATGGCGCATGTGACTAAGAAAGACATTGCAGATGTGGCAGCCTCAGGTAACTGCATATGGTAGTGGCTTTTGTCACTATTACCAAATGATTGTAACATTAACATGCTATTTTGGAAGCTTTATACTGATTCAAATTTTTAACAATGCTTCCTATTTACCACCCAGGTCCTGGTTTAGCTTTCCTTGCATATCCAGAGGCTGTAACCCAGTTGCCAGTTTCACCTCTATGGGCCATTTTGTTCTTCTCCATGCTTCTCATGCTGGGGATAGACAGTCAGGTAAGGGGCTTCGGTGACGATCAGCTCACGGGCTGACCTAAATATTTAAGAGCAGTTATATACCACGTGGCTCACCTCTGCTCTCTGCATGATAAGCATGCAATTTGCTCCTTACATATAGAGGTAGCTAAGCATTAACATTAAAGGGCAAGAATTTTTAATGCAACATTATCATCCCCATTCGCACAATGTTTTTATCGTTTTTTAGTTTCTGCATGTGATTTATATAAGGCTGACGCTGACCAGGCACGCTAGCAAAACACAGAAATTATATATTTTGGTTTCTTCGTGTTTTGGTATTTAGATCTTCTCATCAGATATAGCAAACTGTAATTTGCTATACAAATATACTTCCTTTAATTAGTGAAAAACAAAAAACACATATCAGGTGATTTTTTGGTCAAATACCAAATTTGAAATTAAATTCATGGTTTGATTTCACAACCATGAATGAAATAATAAAAGCTAAATTTACATGAAAAATAAATAGTCTTTCCCTTTCAAATTCTTAGACAAGCACCTAAATCTACAAATTCTGACTGTAGAGGACGCTGTTTTTTCTGAAAACTTCTGGAAAGGTGCCCACACCATAAACTGTTAAAGAATGATGTAGAAAATAAACATATTTCATAGTTTTTGATTCATTTTATTAGGATAAATATCAATGATGAAAACAATATTTGGAAAAAGTCAACCCAGCAATGCATGTGTAATGATCTAATGGGATGCAAGCAAAAACCTGAGGTGTGAAGAATGTCCAGATTTTACAAATATTTTAAGAATGCATTGGGAAGCACCTATTTAGTTTTTTTTATGGCCTAGAGACTGGGTATAGGACTGGGCAGGTCACCAATCCATGACACACATAACAAACAACCATGCATACAACTCTCCCACCTAAGGTTAATTCTCTAGTACGGAAGAGGATTGGGGCCAGTGGAAAAAAAAAGTTAACTGATTTTTACATTTCATTTCAGTTTAGTATAGGAAAAAAGTCAGAATTCTGAGAAAAGTCAGAATTCTGACTTTTTTCTCAGAATTCTGAGATAAAAAAAAAAAAGTCAGAATTCTGAGATTAACGTCAGAATTCTGACTTTTCTCAGAATTCTGACGTTAATCTCAGAATTCTGACTTTTTTCTTAGAATTCTGACTTTTTTTATTGTCAGAATTTAGTCAGAATTCTGAGATTAAAGTCAGAATTCTGAGAAAAAAGTCAGAATTCTGACTTTAATCTCAGAATTCTGACTTTTTTTCCCATGTTAAACTGAAATAAAATTTTAAAATCAGTTAACTTTTTTTTTCAGTGGCCCTAATCCTCTTCCGTACTCTAGAGACCCACAATCAGTCACGTATTTAGACTGTGGGAGGAGGCTGCAGCACCAGGAGAAAACCCACATATTGGAAACCAGGATTTAGGGTTACAAAATACAACCTATTACGTCGACATACCAGCTGTTTTTTTTTATTTATTTATGGGTTGATCATACTGATTATGACTAGAAATTGAAATGTAATAACTTTTTCAAATATAAAACTATAACAAACTGATAAAAACAGATAGACAAAAGATAAAAATTATCATATTTTACATCTGCACTATTAGGTAAGTACAATACCGCGTGACATCAAAGCCCATATAAGAAATGGATGTTTTACATGCAATTAAAATGCAACAAAGGTTTATTTTAAGAAATTCCTTCTAATCCAACCCCCCTCAAATTTTTGATGTTTTTTTAAGCTCTTGTTCATATTGTTTAATTTGTAAACACTGTTGAGGAATGGAAGAAATAGCACATCCTATAATAACAGAAGAGAGAGAAAATTAAGGTGTATGAAATAATAGGGTTCCTTTTTATTTATTTTGCTGCCAACCTTTTGCTTTTATTTGAAATATCAGATATAAACAAATTAGTGTCAACCTTCTGGGATGAAAATGAAATGCTTTTAAATCTAAGATTTTTTTCACTGACTTCTTAAAACAGCATAACTTAATTCTGATGAGAACATTTCATTACCAAAATGTAACCAAACTGTGGACCTAAAATATTTCCAGAACATCAACGGAATTACTACAGAATTACCACAGAGAAATTTATGTTAGAACTGTAAATATACAGTCATATGTTTATATTACTATTTTTTAATGTATTTATTACTGTTTTCAAGGCTGCACTTTAAAAAATGAAATTGTCTAGAGCTGTTTTAAACTAAATTTCTTTTTGTATACACAATGATAATATAAATCTAAGTCCAAATAAATCTGTCTAAGAATGTACATCTCAAAGCAAGAAGTACACATTTCTAATCAGATTGTAAAAGCTGTTACTGTTATTGTGTGTTGTAGTTCTGCACCGTCGAAGGTTTCATCACAGCGCTGGTAGACGAGTTCCCCAAAGTTCTTCGAGGGAGGCGAGAGATTTTCATTGCTGTTGTTTGCCTGGTGTCTTATTTGATTGGACTTTCAAACATCACACAGGTAAAGCAGGGCAACTCTGTATCAATGGGCATATTTCTGTGTTTATCTTTACTTACATTTATCTTTATTTTATTGTATCCAGGGTGGAATCTATGTGTTCAAACTGTTCGACTACTACTCTGCCAGTGGGATGTGTCTGCTGTTCTTGGTCTTCTTTGAGTGCATCTCCATATCTTGGTGTTATGGTGCGTTTTAGTCTGACTTTAATTTAAAACATAACAACAAAAGCAAGATCTAAACATGGGGGGTTGGCTTAGTTGGTTAGAGAAGTGCACTTGTGGACTGAGGAGGTTGCAAATACCCGATTCGAATCCCACTGCCTCGACTCTGGGTTCTTGACCCTTAATCCCCATTGCTCCCCGGCCGCTGCACAATAGCAGCCCACTGCTCCCCAAGGGGATGGGTTAAATCCAGAGGTCAATTTCTCCAATGTGAGTTTAATTATTATTATAAACAAACAAAAACATGCAAGTTTATGGAAACATTTTACCTGCTTCAAATTCTGCTCGGCCACAAGGTCTTGATCACTCATGTGTCATATGCCTCACGGTACTCATCATCATGCATGGCAGATCTCAGATGTGAGAAACAAATCAGGCATGAATATTTTGGTCATGCATTCATTTGTCCGGCAGGTGTGAACAAGTTTTACGACAACATCGAGGAGATGATTGGCTACAAACCCTGTATATGGTGGAAAATGTGCTGGGTCGTGTTCACCCCTCTCATTGTCGCTGTGAGTATTTTAAGCTAATAGGTTTGTACATCTAAAGTCACAATTTGAAAGATGAAACAATAAATAAAGTCAATATTACCTGCCTGCAGCCTTGCCGGGCTGAGCCAGTGCTGCCTGTAGTCAGAGGTGTCAGGATGCATAAAACATCTCTTGTCTCCCACAGGGAGTGTTCTTGTTCAGCGCCGTACAAATGGTTCCTCTCACGATGGGAGACTATGTGTTCCCAGGCTGGGGTCAGGGAGTGGGATGGCTCATGGCTCTGTCCTCAATGGTTCTCATACCAGGATACATGGTCTACATGTATCTCGGGCTAAAGGGCACATACAAGGAGGTGAGAAGAGAAATCTCTGTAAAACTTCCTTATTTCACTGTTTCTTTCCTTAAAATTACTGATATGTTTGGTTTCTTGGCTATGTGTCAAATATGATACATTCAATTCAATGTAGCTTATTTGTAAATCCTTAATTCACAACAAATGTCATTACAATGCAGCTTTCCAAGACAATGAAATCATGCAGACAGATTGGTTAAAAGTTTTCTTTATAAGTAAGCCCAACTGATTGCTTTAGGTCACAAACAATACAGGATTCAGTTCTCCTGGATTAGCATAGACATGTCTAGATACACTGTTAACAGTCCTAATTGTTAAAGGAACACCAACTGCATTGCAAACATTAGCTTAGGTATTGGCATTATGGTGCTCTGCATTTAAGGCAGTGGGATTTAGAATTTGATCACCAGTCAAGCCAGACTGCCACACATTTTTTAGGATGTGTCAAATAAACATTATATAATCAAAAGGAAAAAAAGCCCCCTGATGTAATGGCACTACAGTGAGCCTCAGTGGAAGAAGGAAAATACTCAGTGCAACAGATATGCTTGTCAGCCATTTAGCTTAAAACAGTGAGGTGGAAATATGTACTTAGATTTTACACAATAATGAGTATAGTTCAGTTAACCTTACAATAATCTCAGTTCATGTCAGTTGAGTTTATATATATATATATATATATATATATATATATATATATATATATATATATATATATATATATATATATATATATGTGTGTGTGTGTGTCTGCAGAAAAAATTCAATCAGATCATACAGGAACAATGTTTTCTATCTAAGGAAAACCAGTTGATTGCATCCAGTCATTGACTTTGCAAGATTTGCTCCTCCTGGATGAGCATGTAGCATGACTACAGCAGACTTAATAAGCTAAACTCATTTTATCGTACCAATCCACAAAAAATATACATTTACAGATAGAGAGGTTATTAAAATAATTACTTTAATGAGTATAAAGCATGAACCTTAAGGCCAACATGAAACGATGTGATGAATGTGCAAAAAGCCTAAATTAACCTGCTTATTTTGGCCCCTTTTAAAGTCTGTCACAAATAATGCAAAATTAAGACAAAGTGATGTAGGGACCAACACTGAAAAAAATTCATCTGATTCCTAATTGCTCTGTTTTTCTCTCCAAGCGACTTCGGATAATGTTCCAGCCTCCTGCAGTCGTCAGAAAATGTCAAGAGAATGGACCTGAACAGCAAGCGGAAACCAACGCTGCCAATCTATCCAGCCCTGCCAATCCTACCAACCCTGTGAGCTCCACTAGCCCAACTTCAGCAAACCCAGCCAGCCCAACTAGTACTGCTCCTGTGAACTCAACCAGCCCTGCGACACCCGCCAACCCGGCTCCTCCACCTGCCAATCCAGCTACTGCTTCTAGCCCAGTAACTCCGGCAACGAGTCCCACAGCCACTATTACCACCACAGTCACTACAACCAGTCCGGTTAACCCAACTGCCAAAACTGTTAGCCCGACCAGCCCACCACCTAAGCCAACTAGCCCAACAGAGGCTGTTAACCCCCCTAACCCAACGAGCCCACCCTCTAACCTGACCAATCCTGAGGCTAATGTGTAGACAGCAACAAAACCCTCGTAGAACATGTAGACAATTGAGAACATTACAAAGGACTTCCAAGATTTCAATTGATTCACCTACCTCCAGGGGCAATATGTGATCAAAATAGATTTTCCAACCACGCTTAATTTTTCTGTACTTGTTAAATCAAGCCAACGATGTCTTATTGTTGGTTTGCGTTCTGAAAACAAAATTAAAGACTGTTAGTGTTCACCGATACAACCGTATTTCCGAGAAAAAAAAATGTAAACATACTGTGTAATACTGTGAGAAGAGAAAAAAAAGACTAGAGTTATAGAATAGAGATTTGTTGAATATCTTCATGAATCAAGTAAATACCGTGTGAATATAGTAGATTAAGTAGTTAAACAAACTTGACATCGCTGAAGAGTGCAAAGGATGGCGTCAATTTTTTTTTTGTGGATGTTTACCAACTCACACAGTTGTCTCTTTTTCAAATGTTGCTCTCTGTGAGGTAAAACTACAAGCCGCAAGGCAACCTGCTAGCTCGGCGTAAGCACAATGCCAATAAGCAGTTCATGTTTAGGAGCAATCTGGAGCAGTCCAGATTTCTTGCAAAAGATGTTGTGTGTGAGAGAGACTGTTATTTTTCCTTATTTTTTCAGTGTAAAAAAAACAAAACAGAGATAAAACTTTTATGTGATCAAAGCATTTTTAGAATTATTTTTAGGATGTTTTATACTATGTATGTTGAAATGGAGGACCAAAATCAATAGGCAGAAAAAAGCAAAAACTATGCCGTTGAGTGTTCAGTTGGCAAAGCACAGGGTACAAAGAAGTACAAAAAAAGAAGCACATGGTCAGAAATGTGATTTGCAAACATTGACTATCCCTTAATGCTGACAGTCAATCCTGTTTACGTCTTGCATGCTTTCCTCAGGAACATCATTGAAAAAAGTTTTTCAATGTCTCCTGACAAAAAAAACAAAAATAAATAAAGAAGTTAAACAGAAAAGGCCTTAAGCCAACGCACGATTTCAGCCAAGCGATTGCCTGTTTACATGTCTCGACAGAATTACGAAATACTTTATATGATAGCACAAAACAACCGGGACCAACTCTGTGTTTTAGTACGGTCATGTTTTCTTTTTCTCTATGTGTCATGATCAATCATAGTCCGATCAATATGTATTGAGCAATACATATGTAGGTGTTTAGGTGCGGACCAGTCAGCAAAATGGTCTGTTTCCCTTTTTGTTTATGTTGTCTTTGCTTTACCAGTGGAGAGAAAAAAAAAAAAGACAGAAAAAAGCACAAAAGCTTTTTAGGTTTTCCTTGACTTTTGCCATGGCGTGTTAGGACAATGTGAGTTTGCTTCTATGGCAGCTACAGTGAAAGGCATGTGGTTGAAGAGAACATGTTTACTTTGAAAAGCAAAACAACTGAGCGAAAACGTGAAAATGGCTAGAGTTCATGTCCTGTGAATTTTGTATAAAGTTACTCTACCACAGTTTTCTCTGGAAGTTTGTTGTAAAACTGTACCGTGTAAAACATGTAACTGTGAATGTCTGTACTACATTGGAAGTTATTGTCTAAATGTTAAAAAAAAAATGGAGTTGCTGTTTTCTGCAATAATATTTTGATCACAGAAGCTAAAGCACATATCCTACAGAGATATAAGAAATGATTATGAAAAATGAAGATACTGATGATTATATTAAAAATAGAAATTATGTCTAGTAAAATAATATTGTTTTGTATATTTTTAACTGTCTCACTGCCTATTGTAAAAGATAATATAAACATGATATGTATCTAAATGGTGTCAAATGATAAAGCACGATTGTTATGTTATACAAACAGAAACAGACAGAAAAAATAAAGAGTTATAGATAAAATAAGCCAAATACAGTCCTGGCATATGTCCCTTAAACAATGTGTCTTTAATATAGCAATGTTTCTGGTAACAATGCTACCAGAAAATTAGGTCAACTATCTTATTAAAAGATGTACGCTGCTCTGAATCCTGCTGCAGTAATTGGCTGTTGTTTCCTCTCTCATAAATAAACCCTCCATAGAGGGTTTTCAGTCTATAGATGTAAGAACATTCTGAGTCCTTATAAAACTAAAAAGACGGATTAGGTGGAAGAAAATGCGACGCTTGATTCATCTCTAGTCATTAGTTTTAAATGTAATCCAGGTGGGATGTGCAGAATTAAATAAATCTTTTCCGCAGTAGTTTATGTTTTAAGATGACATCCAGCTTAGCTCTATCAGGGGGTGAAATTTAAACAGATCATAGCAAAAATAGAGAAAGGTGTCTGGATCTATTCTACAAGCTTATAGGGAGAAGCCTCAGCATCACTACAAACAGCTCATGCCTCAGGGCCGGCCGTGCCTGCATGTCCCATCTCCCCTGCTTCTAAGCATATTTGTGTTTTCTTTTTGTTGGTTTTTTCATTCCAGCCAGTCACCCACCCCCACCAACAACCACCTCCTCCGGTCGCTGCTTCCATTAACTTCCAGTGTGATAAAAGAGATGGCACCAGCTGACACCGCCACAATGACTCGCTGTGGATGAAAGAATGATATATCCCCTCCAGTAGCTTGTGGGAAACTGGTGCGTTTGTAGATGCTAGCTCATTTCTGTGTGAGAGGGAGGGAGAAATAGAGACAGGTTAGGAACAGAAAGCTGCTTGTTTAAGTGGATCGAGGTTTGAAAAATGCCACCAATAACAGCTACTACCCCCTGATGGATGACTTGGTGGCCTCCTTCATTCCTTGTAGTGTAATTTAGCATCATTACCTACCAAAACAAGTCACCACCATGACAGCCCAGATGGATGTCTTAAATTTGCTGAAGGCATTGATCATCACTGATGGCCAAGGAGGACAGGCGGTGAAAGATCTTCATTAGTTTGGACAATCTTGCAGAATTCAGGCAGGGCCAGGATGCATGGCAGATCCACAGTAACAGATTCACTTTCTTTCGTTAGAGTTTATGATTCTGCAGTTTTTATTTCTTTGATATTTTGTTTGAGTAGATAAACAGTTGGTATAAGCCATGGCTCTTTAAAGTAAAATCCTTTTTTATAATGCAAAAAAATATATACGATCGAGATAAAAACATTTAAAACTCTTTCCACTTCTAATCCGCTGCATGTTTCAACAAAAAAGGCGAGAGAAAAAATGTTTAAACATAAATAAAAAGTTGCAAAATTGCTTCAGCATGCCCAAGCTTCTACATGTTAATAGCCTTTGATCCAATTTCATCTTTAGAGTATAGACGTTCAGTTCTATAGCTATTAATAATAACTATGGAATAACAATGACATTACAGAAATGGTGAATTTTATTCCACAACCGATGAAGAGACGAGGTAGAAACTGATTAATGAGGCTGCCAAGAGCCCCCAGCAAGGAGCTGCAGGAATTTTTGGCAAGTACTGATCGTGTTTTACATGTGACAACAGTCGCCTGTGTTCTCCATAAGTGGAGTGAAGAGTAGGTGTGAATAAAGCAAGTAATGTCTTCCAAAAAAAAAAAATCCAAACCAGACTAAAATACCCTAATACCATATTCAAGTATGACATATTTATAACAATCAAATTTTCACTTATAAACTATAGTTCAATGAGTTTGGTTTTTTTCAGTATCAAAACGACTCCAAACACAAGAGGGTTTCACTTTTTGTCACTTCTTGTATATAGTATTGCATCATATTTTTAGTTTTATTACATTTTAACAAGCACATCAAGACTCAATTTTGATTCCAAAAAAGTTGAGATTCTTAGTAGAGACAACTTAAGCAGGATATATAAAATAACCAACTTCATAGTATTTAAAATGGAGCCTAAATACTGTAATAGGAAATTTGTCTGAGCTATAGGGAACCGCAGCAAACAGCAAATGTCTATAGATTGTCATTGAAACAATTTGAAGTATACATTTGTTTGATAAATGGAGTACTTTACTGAAGAAAAGTACCAAAGATAGTCAAAAATAGTTTGCAAATCCAAATAGTTATGTAATGAAACCTCTCCATATTAAGCTGCAGCTCAATATTACTTTCATTAAAATGGTGATTATTTTCTCAGTTAATTGATTTGAGCAATCACAAAAATGAGTTTTGTGTGTGAGCCAATTTTAATTAAGAATAAAGACATGAAATGTCCACCTTTTTGAATGTTTTTTTATGGCAGGGGTAACCAATTAAAAATCAGCGGGGTCCGAATAAAGTAAAATCATCAACCAGTAAAGGTCTGGTTAAGCTAATCCGTGACCTCTGCTTTATGGCTTAAAAATGCCTATTGCATACTTCAACTAAAGGCTTTAACCGGGTGTTTAAACATACTCGAATATTTTTGGGTAATAAAAGCATATAATCTGAATTGTTGGCTGAATTGTTGCTCCAAATCTAAACAGGGACGTGATGACTGTAATAAACTATTTGCAAAATGTCAGATATAAAGTGTGTGTTATTTTAAAGTGCAGCTTAGCAGAAAGGTAGAGAAAATCAGAAAATAATAATGTCAACTGTATCATCTTGTAATCCCTCAATTTGTTTTTCGCTAATTTTTCATAAATCTTTATCTAAACACTCGCTTTTTAATAGTTTTCTCTGGCTGAACATTATATAGCTCTCTTTTTTAAATCTTTTTTTTGTTACCCTTCTGTGGGCTGCAGCAGCTGCTGCTCTGCAGAGGTTTAAACATCATTTGAGTTCTAACATCTCACCTGTCAATCCAGGCTGCCCATAAAGCTGTTCCCCCTGCATCACTCTCTCCCAGAACGATTAAATGGCTTCTGGATCTTCAAAGGACCATCTTAAGTGCGTGAAGGGAACTCCCTCAAAACCCAGAGGGATTCACTTCATTTCCTGTTTCATAATGCAGAAGATGTGACACCAATTGACTCGCTGATTAATTTTCTATATGAATAAACCTGAGCACAAACTGACTCTCTACATTAGCTACACCCATCAGAGCTCACCATGTTAATTGATACAGATGACATAAATGAACGTGTTTCTATTTTTTGTCTTGTAAAGCCTGATGCCTTGAAGTGAGCCAGCTCCAGTTTGTGACCAGATCTGAGCACTGAAACCTTGTCCAGAGTTTAGCGTTTTTTGGCACTCTTTGTCAAGAGCCTATTTTTAAAGTTGAAAAGTGCTAACAGTGTGGCTGCAGGAGAGAGGGACATCGAGGTAGCAAAAACTGGTGATCCATGATGCTTTTATTAAAGGATGACAGATCTCTGCAGCTTATATACTCACACACACACTGTCATGATTAATCCTCATAGCCCACTTAGCAAGAGAAGCTAATTCTCCTGCAGATAAAAAGGCTGATAATTATGTTTATTCTTTCTTTGTCTTAACCTCAGTGCTCATCGTCATATCAAACTGGCTTTATGTTGTTCAGGTCACTGAACCTCCATATTTGTGACTTTTATTCATTGTGATTATTTGCAACATTTTTCCTCTGATGCCTCGGTTTGTCCCAGACTTCAGTCTGAGGTACACTCACCTGAGAATTATGAGCAAATAAATTAATGAATAACTAATCTTTGCAGATGCATGAATCTACATATCAATGTAATCAGAGGAGGTTGTATGCGTGGCTATTTCCAGCACAGGGGCTGAGAGGATGTCAAGCATGCAAAGCCTCTCTGCATGTATGCTAATTGGGCTCCCTTTTTGCACTCTGAATGCGAACCTTGCTGAAATAAACTTGGTTACTAATTGTTCTTTTGGCACATTCATATCGACTACCATGGTGTTTGCACATTAAGCCCAGCGTTTATGCTCTAAAGTGAGATCAAAGATGAACAGTTGAACACTATTGTGGATTCCCAAAGATTTTGCTGTCTCATATCGTGCTGTTTATTGATGACGTAGTGACTATGTCTGCAGAAAATACAATTCTGACACATACTTAAGAAAAGCATACCCTCGTACAAACCATGTTTACAATGT